TTCTCACATTACCTGTTTTCTGAGAGGACACTTCAGTTAATAATTGGGAACTTTTTTTTCCTAAATTTTGATACTCTACACGATAGCACCCTTTCACAAGCCTTCACCCCAGAGAAGGTATTGATCAATAGAGGACCCTGAGGTGTGACCACCTACCCTCGGAGTATCAGCTGAAGGTGATGGGTTCTCTCCTGCTGCCCAAGAAACACAGATATGCACACACAACATTTCAACCTCAGGTGCAGAGGGCTCATAGTGGCAAAGTCCATTGTGAGCCCTATCAGAGATCTCAGACCCAGATGCAGAAGTGTTACTCCAGGAGAGGGAAGAGGAATCCACGGATTAAGGCACTTGCCACGCAAGTGTGAGGACCAGAGTTCAGATCCTTGAGAACTACACAAAGCTGGGTGTGTGTGATATCTGCCTGTAAGTCCAGCATTTGGGAAGATTGGAGACAGGATCCCTGGGGTGATTGGCTCTCTGGGCTCGCCAAACCATTGAGTCCCTGCCCCAGTAAACTAAAACAGAGGGCGATTGAGAAAGGCAACTGATGCCCTTAGTCAACCCCACACAGGTACAGCCATGCACATCCACTCACACTTATGTATCCACACACAAAAACACTAATACATATAGGCACACTATACACACACACACAGAGGCACAAGCACATGCATGCATGCGCACACATGTGCATACACACATGTGCATACACACACGTACAAAAAGAAAAAGTGCTGATATAGGAAGTCTAACATACAACTAGCATAAACCAGATGACCAATAAACTCTTACAGCTTTGAATTATGTCAGTGTCCTCATCAGTCAGAGTCCAGATGGCCAAATTTTCCCATGTGGGTCTTCACTCTGCCTTCAGAGTTGCTATCACTTTCAAGAATTATGTGGGGTGCAGTGTTTTTCAATACTGACATCACACTTGTTGCAGTCACACTTGGGGGCTGCTTGTTGGTGGTTTAAATGTCACCTGGAAGCTTTTCAATGCCAAGACAATGGCCTGCTGTGATCACTCAGAGTCAACAAGACACACAAGACGCACCTGGGTCCTCTAACATGGGCTCCAAGAGAAACTTCCCTTTAATAAAAACAGTTGAGACAATGGCGAGGGACAGAGAAATGGCTCAGCCAGGAAAGTGTTTTCTGTCAAGCACAAGAACGTGAGAGGAACGCCAGCCCGTGTGAAAAACAATAAAGCAAAGGCAAGTACGGTCACAGGCGGGACATGTCTGTGAGCCCAGTGCTGGGTAGACGGACACACAGGTCTCTGGGGCTTGCTGGCCGACCAGCACAGCCTATTTGGTCAGGTCCGTTCCACAGCCAGCCTCTCTCTTCTCCTCACCATGGGCACTGACGCCTCATGTACCCTCACTACTCGATTCCTTATAGCTCAAACAGAAACCTTAGAGAGCTTCACCACTGGGAGACGGAGCTAAAAGGGACTCAGGCAAGTTGTTGCCTGGAGGAATGAACTGAGGCATAGCCAAGAAGGAGAAAGGTCTGATCCAGTAAGGTGGCCAACACAAAACTCGGCAGGAAGGATGGTCACCATCCAGGGACAAGAGCCGGTCCCTAGGGACACCAATAGCAGGTGGGAGATATTGAGTAGACCAGCAGGAAAGTGTGGACATAATTCATCCTATAAGAACACAAGTCAAGCTGGGGAGGTGGCTTTACCCAATCAAGTTCCTGCTGTACAAGCATAAGGCTGTGACCCCCATCCTCAGAACCCACATAAAAACCAGGGCATATAGCCTGTGCATGCAGTCCCAGTACTGGGGAGACACCTGGGGCTCACTGACCAGCCTAGCCTACTTGATGAGCCCCAGGTTCCACTGCGGGACCCTATCTCAAAATATAAAGTCAATATTTCCTAAGGAGTGACACCCAAGGTTTACCTGACACCCTCTCTCTCTCTCTCTCTCTCTCTCTCTCTCTCTCTCTCTCTCTCTCTCTCTCTCTCTCTCTCACACACACACTCACACACTCATTAAATGCTGAGACCCTCTATGCCCTGCCCTACTATTTCCTGTGTCTATCTGTCCTCAGACTTCCAAAATTTCTATGGTGGATCTAGCTCC